AATCTGCACAAAATGAAAATGGTTAGCAGAGGGAATTAATATAATGCCATTCACTTTCATTTTAATGTCAACAGGAATTATCATTAAAAAAAAAAAAAAAAAAAAAAGGTGGGGGACAAGGAAACTGACATATTGCAATACAGTAGCAGGTTGATCAAAAGATTTGTGCTGGATGTCATTAAGTATGAACTAACATTTAATATTATTTAACGCCACTAATAAAACTGTATAATAAAAAAAAAAAAAAAAAGCATAGCATGATGAAGAAAATGTTTATCCTATCATTAAAAGGAAAGACCAAAGTTTTTTTTTTATTATTTTATTAAATTTCTCCACCCTTTCTAGCATACTCAAAGTTTTGGTTAAAAATCTTTTTTTGTTATGTCAACAGACTACATAACATTACTAATAGTCTCTTAGCACCTTAGCAGGTGAAAAACACACCAATTTGAAAATTCTTACAAAAATCAAATAATTGTTGAATTTTAATGAAACTTTCAGGACTTATTCACAAATTAATGAATTATTTTTTAAATTTATTTATTTATTTATTTTTTTTTTTTTTAAATCTTGGTAAAAAAAAATATTTTTTCTTTACATAAGTTACCCCCCCACACACACACACACAAACACACACACAATTTCATGAAATTTCGAGATATTAAATTTCAATCTCAAAATTTGTTTTATTAGTTAAAAGCAGGACTCCTGGGAGAATTTAAATTAGTTTTTTTTTTTTTTTTTTCTAAGACAAAACAACCAGTTACCGAAAATCTGCTCTGAATCATAAAATAAAAGTATGACATTATTTAATTAGAAAAGTTTTTAATTGCTTTTATAAATATGATTTAAGGACACTATTATCTTAAGAAAAAAAAATTTTCAATGAATAATAAATTTTTACAAGAATTGTTTCCATTTTAAAAATTTTAATTATGATAATTTATGTTATAAATTGTGTAAAATTCTGCATTACTTCAATCTGGTTAGATGATATTGTTATTAAGCAAAAACTATATGTAATCAAAAATTGCAAAGCTCAATAGAAGTCGTTTACACCCAATATTTTTTGAATTTGGTTTTGCTTTTTTATATATAAAATATTATGTAACGTGTGCCTGAATGAAAGTATGGTTGACCATACATGACATAAGCAGAAAGTAAGAGTGATGACTATAGTAAATTGAAATTCAACATTCCTAAAATTAGATTATGGAGAATATTTTCCAACATTTTTAAGATTAATGAGTACTTAAATATTATATAAATAATAATAATAATAAAAAGGCACCCACCAGTCATTTTCTTAAATTATGTTTTAAAAGATAAAGTCTCCATAGAATAGTAAAGAAGTTGACAGATTTTATCATCACTTGTTAAGTGATCTACAGGTGAAAAGCAACTGTGATAAGCATGTAATCACTGCTACCTGTTTGTTTTAAAAATCCATTTCTGTTATTTTAAACTTGAATAATATTTTTTCAAATCAGATTAATTATACTTTAAATCAGCTAATATTCATCAAATAAAGTTTCAGAAAAGTATATTTTATTTTTGGAAGATTTTTAAAAACCCAGAATTAACTTTTGTTTACAAAAGTGTCAAAATGTATCAAAAATGGATGATTTTGTGAAAACGACCAAAAAGTTGAGATTGCAATCAATATAATTTCTATTTGAAATACACCAGAGTATTTTGCTTACTGAAAATAGTAAATTTAATCACTTAGCTTTCAAGTAAAGCTAAAATGAAAGAATGCTTTTTCATTTTTAAAAATAAATTTTAAACTTTAGGTATTGAAACTGAGTTACTATTGTCGAGGTACCTATTTAATATAAATATATAAAATAGAGCAATTTAAAATAAAGAATATGAAAGAAGAAAAAGAAAAAATTTTTTTAAATATCTAGATCCTATTTCTATGTAATTTGCTGTTAAAATTTAATGAAAATGTTCCTTGTAGCTTCTTGCATTAATACTATTATAAGTGTAGATAGACTATCAATCTTATTTCAAATTCAACAAGGGGTCACAATCTCAGTTGCAGCTTATTTATAAACTCCTAGTTTGACTTTCTAGTTACTATATTCTTAATACTTGATATAATGCAAAATTATCACAATTAAAAATCAGTCAATAATTATAACTATTTATACTGGGACTCATGCATGCAAGTCATCCATAATATTTTAAATTTTGAAATCATATTTATTTTTAGCATATGAATTTTTTTTTTTTTTAAACTTTTTCTAAATCTGATTGTCCTTGAATCATTCTGCTTCACCTGCTAATCCTATTCTGTTGCACCTATGAAGTTTGCTGCACAGTTTGGGACATAGCCTGGGACAAATCTTGCATACAAAGAAAGAATCTTCCTCTTTAACATTTTCAAACACTCCCCCTCTTGAGCATGTAAGATTCTGTGCTCTGCAGTGGATTTGACGCCAGAGAAGATGCGTTTACTTTCAACCTAATCTCTTTCTTGGCCACAGATTCCCAGTGAGTAAGATTATTATTGCATTCAGTCAGTGACAAACAAACAATCCTTAAAATCTTACTTTTGGCTTCCCACTGGGTAGTTTTGCTTTCTTTTAGTTCTCCATAAAAGAGCTGCTTCAGTTGGTTGGTTTTGTTTAGGGGCATATCAATCTCTTTATTTTATTTATTCGGTCAAGATAGCTTGGAAATTCGTGACTATCATGCCAACCATCACAGTCCTGCATCAAGGTCGGAAAATCATTAGTGAGGTATTCTGTATCATAACATAACTGGTCAACATAGGAGGTTGCTGGGTGACCAACTTGTCTTGATCGATGGCTAGATGTCCAGAACAGTAGATCACATATGAGTTCTTGGGTTATTTAATAATGAAATCTAAATAACACAATTTTATGGCTTCAACTAAATATATTTTGAACACAATTGTATACTTTCAAATAGAGACAAAATGTATTGCTGGTCATTTTGCTTTAAAAATGTGTTATTGGTCATTTTGCTATATGTATTGTTGGCCCCTTTTTTTATATAAAAATGTTTTGCTGGTATTTTCGTAGTGTTTTGTTTGATGGTTCGCTATTTGCCCATAGCTGGGACCTTAATAGGTGCTACCACTCCAGCTCAGGGTGAATCTGGAAGCAACAACAATTAAGAAGTTGTTCCACACTCTTCAAAACCTCCAATTGCTTGATCGGAGTCCTTGCTGTCAGATGTAGTTTATTGTCATACCCAGGACTTGAGCTGCTTTGGAAGACATGTGTCAGTCATGTGGACAAGATTTCCAACCAAACTCAACTGATGCATATTAAGCAGGCATTCAACAATTGAAATATTTGTAATATGTAACAGCTTATATATTTACTACTACTTTTATTAAATTCAACCAACACAGTCTATCTGTTTAGGGTTTTATTTTGTTTTTCCAATTTTAAAATAAGTTGTTGGGCATCCAAAATCAAGATGGACAAAATGCCCAATGATCAGGTTTCTCTTCTGTAAAAGTCTTAATCATTATCTCTTAGAGAAATACAATAAAAAGGAAAAAGATTAATTAGTAGAATTTAATAGAAATTTTATAACTGCCTCCTTTTACTTTCCTTTGTTTTTTTTTTTTGTTTTTCTTTTTTTCAGTTTAGGTACTTCTTTTTAGATTGGTCATCATTGCTGACTACTTTCAGTTAGCCCTTAGTTTTCACCAGAACCCTCACAGCAAAAGTACAAGCCAAGCATGGGGTTCATAATTTTATCAACCTCCTAATTTTACCCCTAATGTTACTATCACGGGTATGTAACTTTTAAAACCTTTTCTCTATGAATTGGTAATTTTTTTTATCATCATGTTATTTCAACATTTGTTTAAAGTACTCATAATTTATACGTTTGTATCTCTCTATGTCGAATCTACCCCCACGTGTCCACTGTTCAATAACCATGTAACTTCCTTTCCGTGAACTAACTGCAACATTGAAATGTAGTAAACTTTATACATAGTCATGTAAACAAAGTATTCGCTACCTTCCTTTACCCATTGAGACAAACGGTCTTACTTCTATGTTCAAGCCACCGGCTTCTTTTGTCAGATTCCTTGTTACTCTTGTCTGTTATTCAGACTAAATTAGTTTTACTCTTATATGTGTACTTATTTTATTTTTCTAGCTTTAGCCTTTTTGTTTTTAATAAACCTGTCGATGAACAGGACCTTGCCTTCAGAGCCTTAATTACCTAATAGGTATATCTGGCTGTCTTTGACATACACACGCATATGACATGGATGCATACTTTTGATGCATACTTTTACTTACATGTAAACAAATCAGACTAAGAGTAGGTAAGTGAATGACAAAATCTAAAACTTAGTGACTATTTCGTCATTCATTTATACACAATATAATACACCAAGCATAGGAGTATATCTTTTCTAACTGATGCACTTAAGTTATTTTCCTTGCACTAGTGATGCCAGGTGATAGTGTCTTTGTTATGACAATGGTAGACTGTTGCAAGATAACTGCAAAACTGAGAGTAGAAAGATTGGAAGAGCATAATATAATAATCTGAAAAATATATTTGAAGACTCACATGTAGAAACTGCATAACAGTAAGGACTTAAAATATGTAGCCATTTGGGGGGGGGCAGGAGTAAACTAATATGAATATATGATTCTACTGGACATAAAGTGAGGAGTCGATTTTCTTAATCAGTAATTATGTGATAAGCTGATCACCCAGGAATTATTTTTTTTTTAACAAAAACGTTCACCATGTACAAGGTCAAAAATACGGAGCAAGAAGGACAGATTTTGGGGATATGTGGGGAAGATAATGGTTGACCCTAGAATTGAACAAGATTGTAGTGATCAGGAATGTAAGAGTAGATAGGTTTGCCTATCATCCTGTTCATACTCCCTGCTAACTTCTGAACAGGAGTAGAGGCTCATCCCTGTAGGTTGTGTTTCAGGAAAATTCCAAACTTTTTTCATATTTTTTCATGCCTAGTAGCCCCTTCAGTTAAGTGGCATTGATTTAGATAAAGAGCGGAGAAGGAGAGAGGAGAGCGGAGAAGGAGAGCGACGAAGGAGAGGAAAGAGCGGAGAAGGAGAGCGACAGCGGAGAAGGAGAGCGACAGCGGAGAAGGAGAGCGGAGAGCGGAGAAGGAGAGCGACGAAGGAGAGCGACAGCGGAGAAGGAGAGAGGAGAGCGGAGAAGGAGAGCGGAGGAAAGAGCGAGAAGGAGAGCGAGAAGGAGAGAGGAAAGAGGGAGAAGGAGAGGGAGAAGGAGAGGAGAGCGGAGAAGGAGAGCGGAGAAGGAGAGGAGGAGAGCGGCTTAAGGAGAGAGGAGAGATGGAGAAGGAGAGCGAAGGAGAGAGGAGAGCGATTTAAGGAGAGGAAAGAGGAGAAGGAGAGCGAGCGAAGGAGAGGAAAGAGCGGAGAAGAGAGCGGGAGGAAAGAGCGGGGAGAAGAGCGGAGGAAAGAGCGACGTAAGAGAGCGAAGGAGAGCGAGAGGAGAAGAGAGCGGAGAGAGAAAGAGAGCGACGAGAGGAGAATGAAGGAGAGACGAAGGAGAAAGGAGAGCGACGAAGGAGAGCGAAGAGCGAGAAGGAGAGCTTACGAAGGAGAAAGGAGAGCGGAGAGCTAATGGAAGAGCGGAGAAGAAGAGCGAGAGAGCAAAGAAAGAGGAGAGCAAAGAAAGAGCGAGGAGAGCAAAGAAAGAGCGAGGAGAGCAAAGAAAGAGCGAGGAGAGCAAAGAAAGAGCGAGGAGAGCAAAGAAAGAGCGAGGAGAGCAAAGAAAGAAGAGAAAGAAAGCGAGAGAGCAAAGAAAGAGGAGAGAGCAAAGAAAGAGCGAGGAGAGCAAAGAAAGAGAGAGTCCTACAAAGTAAGAGTTCATGGGATGTAGTTGTTTGAGTGGAACTTTTTTTTTTTTTTGAGTCTCACCAATGGAGTACAAAGTGAATTTTGGCTACAATGTGCACTGTATGACACGTCTTAGCTGTGAAGGTTAAAACTGTTAAAACAAAGGATATTTGGAAAACATTTCAAAAGTCACATGTGCAAGATTAAATAATAAGTACTTAAAATATCATTTTTGACAGCTTCAGTAAACTAATATATTATTCTACTGGACATAATAGAAAAGTGATCTTAATTTTAAGTAATAAACTGATCCCCTGCTAGTAATATACTGATATTGAAAAAGTATGTTTACAGACTCATATAGGAAAACCCGATAAAGACGAAACAAGCAGTGATTTTTATTTTTGCATTAATTCAGAATAGCTTTAGCTCTATTATTTATTATAAAATCAAAAGCTGAAATTTTGTGAAAAATTCAATACAATTCAATTTTCATACAAGAAACTAAAACCTGTTTTGAAACCAGAATGATGCCACCAGGTCTCCTTTCAGCAATTTGATGAGACAGTTCAAAAGAGAAAACATCAAAATATTTACAACTTTCAAGTAGCTTCAAAAGGGAAACAATTGGAGGTTTTTGTTTGTTTTGTAAGTTTAAATTACTGATGTAGTTAATGAAAGTTTGCAAAAGTTAGGATAAATTGAATCCCAGTATAAAACAGGAAATAAAAAAAAAATAAAATAAAAAAAAAAAAAAAAATTGTTTTTATTTTTAACAGTGTAGGAAGAAAAGATTTCACCTACATTTATGAATCTAGAACATATTACTGTATTTGATGACAAGACAGTCATATCAGAAGGAAATATTTGAGAAGAATCTTTTAGTGATGTGATGGACATATTTTCTCTGCGATCTTAATGTCATTTTTCCTACATCAGTGTTTTACTATTACCTGAATTTCCTTTCAGTGATATTTTCTTTGTGGTTTCCAGCTGGTTAATGATAAGAGTATCTTAAGACAATTAGGTAGCAGTTTGGCATAGTAATAATAATAATTGCAAATTATAATGTATCTTTGAAGATCTTTAAAAAAAAAAAAAAGAAAAACTATCAAAATACACAAGCCCTCAGATTGATTTGAAAATATTCTAATAGACTCATTGAAAGGAATCCTGATAGCCCATGCTTTAATGAAATACAAAAAAAAAAAAAAAAAAAAAAAAAGTGCTCACAATTACAACTCATCCATTACAAAGAGCATTATCTATGTGACATGTGTGTGATCTTTGGTCATTGGTTTTCTTTACAAAAAATGATCAGTATAGCGATTTCTGACCTTAAGTCTCTGGTTGGGACCCAGAAGGAAATGTGTATACAACAGAAACCCAAGGAAATGATAAGTGATGATTAACATAATAAAACCAGATGTAATTAAAAATGACAAAAACAGAAAACAACAACTATGGTATTTGGCAATATGAAATTGAGATTAAAAAAAGAAAAGAAAATAAAGTGTCAAAGTAATGAAAAATGAGAAAACTGGCAGTCAGTTTTTGAAACCTCCTGACAAGTGAACAATTACAAAAGGTTCATCTATGAAACTAAAGAGTTGAGGTTCTTACTATAACATTAATCAGCTAAGTGACAAATCTTATTTGCATTAATTATATTGTGTGTGTGTGTGTGTATATAGAGTACTGGGTAATATATTTAGTCATCTAAAAGAAAAAAAAAAATATCACCAAAAACAAATCATATATTTATAGCTCATTTTATTTATTCGATCAAGCTAGCTTGGACATTCACGAGTATATCACACCAACCATCACAGCCCTACATCAAGGTCAGAAAGTCATTATGGTGGTATTCTATATAATAACATAGCTGGTTAAGGTGGTTGCTGATCAACCAACTGGTCTTGTGCCATGGCTAGGTGCCCAGAGCAGTAGATCACTCGTAAGTTCTTGTTTTGCTAGCCAGCAGTGTCCTGAAAAGTGCATGCTGCTTTTGTAAAAGATTGTAAAAATATCAGGGATGGGTCCATAGAGCTGTGATTTAGTTGAATGTTGTCTCTAAGCTCTCAACATCCAAGTGTAGCTTCCATCAAGCTTAGACTCTATGGTTTTAGTTAATGTCCAAAGCAGTGGTGCCACATATTAAAACTGCCTCTACAATGGTGTGAAAGAATCTGTTGGGTAGATCAGATTTCCAGATTACATCCATTTTATTCAAGGCAGCCCTATGGGAATTTTCACATCCTTTTCAGTAGAATTTATTTTGCTTCCTTGATATGTAAAAGATTCAGCAGATTTTATTGATTCACGTGAAACAGTTTGTACTTAGCCTTACTGGTCAAAGCTTATGAATTCAGTTTTTGAGGCATTGATTTAAAGTCCAACATCATTAGCAGTATTTTCTAAATGATGTAGGAGAACTGTGTCATTGGTCATAGTGTCTGCAGTGATAGCGAGGTCATCTGCATAGTCAATATCAGTCAACTTTTTTTGCAGGATATCAACTTGAGAGTTTCAGTGATAAAGTAAAACCTAAATGTTTGTCGAGTGATGTTCTCAATACATAAGCAAGGGTGATAACAAAGAGAAAAGGTGCAGGAGTGTCACCCTAAAGAAACCCTGCTTTGATGTCACAGAAGCTAGTGTCTCTGTCTAGAGGATCTAATATCTTTTTGTATAATGTCATTATGGCAGCTACTGTCTCCAGGGTCAGGGGTGTTGGTGAGGTAACATATGCCAAAAGGATCTTCTCTATGTTTCCCCTATATACAGAATCGAAGACTTTAGAGAAATCTACAAAAAGTAATGTGGCCTGTAGATTCTTTGCCCCTGCCAGAATGCTTCTAGTATAGAAATGGCCGAGCTTACCAATTTTTGTTATTGAAATATTTGAGCTGTAAACCTGTAGAAATCTGAAGAAAGGATTGGCCAAAACAATGTTCAAAACTACTTAGGAACACAAATAATGAGCTCAATAATTCCAAACAGCTTTTGAAAGACTGTTGTCTACTCTTGTCATGTAATTGTAAAATCACTTTTCAATTAGGTGTTGTTATCAAAGAGTCACATAATCAGCCAGGAATTGGCAGACAACACAAACCTGGAAGAAGCTGGATCAAAGAGAAATTACATCATTCAAACAATACCAAGGTAGATTCACCCATCCGAACTAAGTCTGTAATCATCTTCATAAGTGCAATGGTAGTGACCCTAGCAACACACTTATCTAAATATCTATATACAACCGTTTAATCAGATCAAGGGTTAAAAATGGCTTTAAGTGAATGAATCATGAAGGTCTTTTAAAAAAGACAATCCTTTATCAAACCTCTACAGACTGGGGCTACAAAATCAAATAATTTCAACAAATAACAAAATCCATATCATTCAAAGACTTCCAACAAAAAAAAAAAAAAAAAAAAAGATAAACATGGGTAACTAAAAGAAGAAATAATGATACAATCAAGATTTTGACTTTCCACACTACCTTAAACAAAAGGTTAGGAAGGAAACTCATTTCTAGAAAGAGTGATGACAGTGAACTTAAGTTTAATTTCTTGAAAAACTGTTTTAAGAGAAACATTTTTATAAACTTCAACTGACAGTGATGTTAATCATTTAGTCAATCAATAAATACCAAATGTTTCCATGTAAGGAAAAGGCTAATGTCACCATTACAAATCGACCTTTTGATGATGCCCTGATTATAATGGCTTTTGAATCTTGCTCATAATAAAAAAAAAAATGCCTACCTTTTCTTTAATATGCTAACTTTAATATCAATCGAACCAATTGACAAATGAAATGATTAGAAAATTATATCTAGACTACAAAAACCAATGTGATATTTTTAACGAGTCTTTTTGAAGCTGTTGCCTGCTGTGTGAGTGAAAGAAAGAGAAACTATGAAATTTGAAAAGAGACGGCTGTTCCTCCACTCCCATCTCACTCAGAGTGCACACTCTGATAGATACTAATTCACTTGGACTGACACCACAGCAATTAGGTCAGCCTACACAAGATGACCAACTTGAGCCTTGGCTAAAGGGATATTTATCATTACTAACAGCGCACACACTATCCATGTCTGGAAATGACTAAAAATTAGTGAGTAGACTATTGAGTGAATTGGTAGAAGTTTAGAATGAGGATGAGAGATATAATTTAATATGGTACAAATACCTACCAGGGGGTGTGAATGAAATTTAATCTTCCAACTAAGCAAATAGGAGAAAGACATTTTTAGGTAGCATACGAAAACAGCCTTTTTTCTACCCTCTGCTAAAACATACATGACCCTAACTTAAAACAGTTTTTTTTTTTTTTTTATCATTAAAATCTTTGTCATTATTAAAAGGAAAGACCAAAGTATTTTTCAATTATTAATTAAATTATTTTTTATCCTTTTTAGAATGTTCAAAATTCTTTTATTTTTCTTGTGTCAGTGGGGGACCAAAGATTAGTATGGTAATTTTAGTGCCTTTTGTGGTGAAAAATACATTGATTTGAAAATTCTTGTTAAAAAAAAAAATCCTACATGTTTCATTAAAATATGACAATCATTTGATTTTTTTTTTTTTAGAAAAGTTTTTTTCTTCTTAGAAAATCTTGATAAAACCATTTTTTTTTTATATCTGTTCCCTCCCCCCACACACATTTTTATGAAATTTTGAGAAATTCATTTTTTCACCGATTAATGTTCATATTAGTTATACACAGATGTCCTTCAAGAATTTAAATCAATTTTTTTTTTTTTTTTGTAAAACAGGGCCTTCAGTTACTAAAAATCTGCAATAAAACTAAGACATTAATTAGACGTTCTTCTAATTATTTTAACGAATAACATTATGGACACTATTGTCTTGAGAAATTTTTTTTTTCATGAATAATGAATTTTTTTTTTTTTAACGGGATTTTTTACAAATTTTAATTAGAATAATTTATAAAGTTTTAAATCTTAAAATTCTGTAAAAATTTATAGCTGTTAGGTGGTATTGTTATGAAGTAAAAACTAGATTTACTAATCATAAATGAAAAAGCTTACAATTTTAAGAATTTTGAATGTTTTTTGTGTGTATAAATGTGTTGATTTTTGCAAATATGAATGTCCATACACATCAGAAAATAAAAGCATTAACTATAGTAAATTAGCTAATATACCTAAAACTCGATCAAAAGGTTATATTACGGAGAATATTTTCCTAAATTTTTAAGATTACTGGGTAGTTAAAAATTATAAGAAAAAAAAAAAAAAAAAAAAAAAATGCTCACATTATGTTCAAGTAATTTTTACAGATATTTCATTTTGAATGGACATGCTTCTGGTTGATTTCATATTAATGCATGATGTCTCCAAGGCTCTATCCTCAGACTCACGCTGTTTCATAAAGGATCTTTCCAGTGCTATCAGTTCCCAACTAGGTATACAAGCAGATAGATGACAATTATTTATTCCCATCTTAGCAGCAAGTCCGACCACTCCAACAAAGTAAAACTGGAAACTGCTCTCAAAAAGAACTTCCAATTAGTAGTTAACTGGGGCAAGGAATGGTTTGTAAATTTTAATGCCTCCAAAACAAAACTGCTTTCATTTAATCACCACAGAGAACCTTTTCTGCCAGCCATCGGCATGGATGATGATAAACTACAGGAGAGGAACATTTTGCGTCTACTTGGACACACCTTTTCCAATGACATGCAGTGGAGTGATTATATTGAATCAATTGTTTGGTCTACTGCTAGGAAAGCTAGCTGTGTCATGCCAGATTCTTAACAGAAGATCTCTTGCACATGTATAAATCTAAAATTCATCTGACCATTTAATACTGCTGCCATATCTGATCTGATGCTCCTACTATATATCTTAAGATTCTTGAAAAAAATTCAAAAAAGGGTCTGTAATGTAATTTAGCCTGACTTGACATCTAGACTTCAGTCACTTTCTCAATGAAATGGTGCGACTTCTATCTTTTCTACAAATATTTTTGTGTTCAGATGTGCTATTCTCCTTGGTGCCGCAACTGCACAAATTTAAGCACGCTGACTTGACTGTATGAATTCAAGTGTGCTACTAGATTGGCAACTAGATCTCACCGTTTTACTGTTGAACTAGCTAAATGCAACTCATTTCTCTTCTAATAGTTTAGTTTCTCACACTTTTCACCTGTGGAACTCCCTTCCAAATCCTTGCTTCTCTGCCACCTACAATCTTCAAAAGTTTAAATACAAAATCAATGGCCATCTTCCGCATTATTATTTTATTGTCTTTTTACTCATTTCTCTTCAATAAATTCCTCTCGTTCTCTTTCACCCCCTGTGATCCCTGCCTCTGCTTCCAAGTAGCATTATCATTATTTTCATAAAGAAAACATTTTTGTGTTAAGATATTAATTTTTAGCTTATTGGAATCTTTAGGAAAAGATAAAAAATCTTTCATACAAAGATTTAATTAGGTGTAGTGAGCATGACTAGGAATTCATACAATGACCTTATAGTCATCAACCAAAATGACAAATGATGCCAGCAGCATGGTTTCAAACCCAAAGTTCAGTATCATTTCAAAGGAATAAAAGTATCTCATTGACCACAAACAATAAACCATTTGTAAAGACAGAGTTCCTATGACCAAAGGCAGGACTGATGAGAATCATCAGACAACCATTGTCGATAAATTTGTGTAAGCAGGAAGTAGTATAGTCTATTCTTGAATAATATGAGGAATGCCAAGCAGCTTGTACTGAAGGGCTTAAATTGTCAAGTTTTCCAAGAATAGAGTGTTGCAATCATTGCTTCTAACTTCAATGAAAGCAGTAACAGTCAAAATTTTCACACAGGTTGTCAAATGTAGAGACAAAAAAAATAAAAATAAAAAAAAATAAGAATATCACTGTTGATATTTTCATACAACTATTTACAGCTGAAAAGGAAAACATTAAGCCTCAGTTGAGAGAGAGAGGGGTTGTCAGCAACCTTTGTTACCCATTTGTGGTGGTCAATAGGATGAGGGTCCTTTTTTGGAAGTTACGTTTACACTGACTGGAGTCCAGATTACCAAGGAAGGTAGGTTTTTGGAAGTCATTGTTCTGTCCTCAATACGCTACCAGCTCAACTCAGTTGTGTATGTGTTTTTTTTTTTTTATTGTTCAATTTAGTATTTCATTTTCAAGATGAGTAATTGTCAATATTCTTGTATTATTCTGAACTATTCTCATCTTGAATGATATAGATGTCATCGTTTCAACCAAGTACCCTCTGGTCATCATCAGCCGTCATTTGATTGGCTGATATGGAATACTGATGATTGTGATATTTTGTCCCTGTGATATCAGTTTTGGACTGGTGCATCACTACCAGATCCAAAGATTGAACTCATGACCACTAGATGACTAACACATGTAAGCAACTCCTATATCCATTATGTCACTGAAGAACAGCAGTGGTGTGTTTTTGGAGCCTTTTATTCAATATTAGTTTTTATTTTCTTTTTTACATTTGGCTATGATAGTGGGCTAGTGATGCTTTTCATAATTTATCATTTTATTTCTGACATGAGTAATTGTCAATATTCTTCTCACCTTGGTTGATATGTCTATAATAATATGAGAACAATAGTTTGAAATAATGCAAGAATAATGTTGCTGGCACTCTTGAACTTTTCCTATAATGGTTTTAAAATTCCATAACATGAAGTTATTAATAAAGTGCACTCAAGAAGTGAGAAGAGTCAGCCAAACTTTGTTCAAACAATTTCTTTGCACATATTAGTGGGGGGGGGAACCCTTACAAATTATGCACCTATAGAATGGATGACTGAAAATATTGTGATTATATCAACAATGGAAAGGATTATTTGATCAAAGCTTGAAATGTTAGCATCATTTTGTCATGTTTAACTACATTTTCATAAATATTGAAAATAATTTTCTTAAGTGGGGAGGGGTAAGGAACCAGTTTGTTTATAACATTTAGTAATGAATAAGATAAAAAAAAAAAAAAATTCTACTATAACAAGTTTATATTTAATGCCAAAATCTAAATATTTAATGTTGTTTTTTTTGAGATAATGGTTTTGATGATACAAAAAAGAGAATAATTATCTCCCTTGCACTGGCAACATCAGGTGACTGTTTCTATTGATTGGCTGTTTTTGTTTAGCAATATATCAATCTTTATTGGTTATTTAATGCCAAAATCTAAATATTCTCAGCACAATTTTTTTTTTTTTTTTTGAGATAATGGTTTTGATGATACAAGTCTAACTAATTAACCCATAGTTGGGCAAAAAGAGAGGAATTTATACCTTGTCCAGGGGTATTTGCATGCAATTGAATATAACAAAGCTAACAGGAACTCCGATTAATAATTCTGAGCCATTATCCATTACACCACCCACACATCCAAGTTTACAGCATCTGGTATTCCCAAGCAGACAACCATTTAGGTACTGATCAGGTTCAACGTTGTTTAACTTTAGTGATCGTATGGAAACCAATGTTTCAACGTGATATGGCCATAAGCACAGTTTCTATTGGTTACAACTGACCAGGAATGATGGCTAAGAACATCCCCCTCCCCAAATTTATCGACAAATCCTACAGATGCATGCTGGGATTTTTTCTGGAACCATAAAAAGGAACAATTCTCAGTTTCAGGATTATGTTTTTGTTCTTTCTTACTATGAAGTTAAAATATTAAACACTTGACTGTATCCCTTTTGCATGTTAACATAATTCTCACTTTTCCGCTTTAAAAAAATCAACAACCTGTTTAGTAACTAAGAAAAAAAATCTTTGTATTATTATTATTGTTAATTTCCTTTTGACTTGCACTTGTGTGTGGGGGGCATTGAAGTGGTGACAGTGTTTCATACTTAAACACAACTGTCAGGCCATGTACATTGTGTTTTTGCTTGACAATATATAATATATATATATATATATATATATATATAAAAAATGTCAGTTATGCAATACGGGTAGGCCTATTGTATTATTCTAACAGTTATTTAGGTGTTTGGTAAAGATTATGTTTCAAATAAATAGGCTTTATCCCTTATATTGGGCACTTTAACCTATAAATATCACACACACACACACATTAAATATAAATATAAACACTCCTTGTTCTGTTCTTTTCCCCACTCTTATTGTTCAAGAATTTTGTCTATTACACTTAATCATGACCATTTATTCCACAATTTCTTGTAACATTAACAGACTGAAGGAATATGACAAAGTGAGTATTACCTTAGAAATTAGAAAAATAATAAATAAATCAAAATATTTATGTATGCTTGTGCAAATAATGCCAATCTGAGAAATATTTAAAAACTCGCATGTGAAAAAGCTAACAGCCAGTATTTAAAATATTCCAATTTAAAAACCTCAATAGCGCATTTTGGTTGTATTACATTTATCTTCCTGGCACTGACAAGTTATTTATATATTTAATCACAAACCTAATTAATAGTAATGAGTTAAAATATGCTATCATATTTTTTTTTACAGCAGGAGTAAATGAGTTATATATTTTAAATTCAAATAAGTTTCCCCGTTTGATTTTTGTTGTACAGATCAATAACTAATCATATGATGACTTTAGATTAATTACAAAGACTGTTTGATAAAAAAAAAAAAAAAAAAAAAAAAAATGTCCCACAAGTTCTGTATGACCTTAATTACCAAGATCAGTGTTCAGCATAGATGAAAAAGCATTTGGCATTTAATGAATAGTGATGAGACCGTAAAAACAAGGAAAGTTCTTTCAAAACAATGTTATGTCCATGATGATTACTCATTTCAATAAAGGTCTCACTTTCAAAGTGCATAATACGCCACGTCTCAAAAAATGATTTTATGCAATTTTTTTTTTTTTATTTAGAATTAATCAATTTTATCAGAACCTACCAAATTTCAATTTTACATTTGAGAGTGACACTTAAAGCTAAAACCAAAGTTGAAAAATCTGTCTTGAAAGCTGAACAAGCAAATCTTCAAAGTTGAAATGAAAGGATGTAATAGTAGCATTTCATCATCACTGATCAGTCCCTTAGTTTTTTTCTAGGGTACAATGAACGGGTGCACCCTCAATGAGACTCCTTTTTAATCATAGGTATCAAGTTAAACATACATACGATTCTGATGCTGTAAAAATGGTCACTTCATTGTGCTACTCCAGAAAGCACAGAATGTCTTCTGCCATTCTTTATCTTTACCAGAGTTAGATTAGACCAAAAATGGACTATTGCTGCCATATATGAACTGGAGTTATCCAATTGATGCTTTTCAGTCTTGATATAGTTTCATTTTACACCCGGCATCCTCTTTCCCACAGATGCAACATCGGAAGTGTCATTACTCTTGATATTTCCATGGCAAATGTCCAGACAAGTTTCATTCTTTAGTTCCACCAATTCAGACTTTTACAGTTTGGATTCGCCATACCACATACACTGTCAAATCGTCCTCATTCCCATATTCCATCGATAAGGACAATCCACTCAGACAGCTTCTTCCCAGAAGAGGTTCCTGCAAGGATGCTTCATTGATCACTAAAATATGACTGTTACCTACCCTCCATATCTTCAATTCTTACATTCATATAAAATTTCATTCATTCTGTAACCTACCTTGAGTGGCTCTTAATCCTTGCAATGGGTGAACATTAGTAAAAGATTATTCAGACAATATAAAGACAACAAAACACACCGAGAGTCTAAGTGAAAACTTTTTGTAACTATAATTAACATACTGAGATTATTACAAATTTATTTCAGAATGTTTTTTTTTGTTTTTTTTTATAAGCAACTCATTTATAATAAAATGTAGTGAAATACGACTAAAGGTGAAAAAACTCTGCCCACTATTGACAATGGAGAGTCTTAAGTACCTCAATAAATAAAAAAGAAAATGAGAAACATAAAATTAAACAAAAGGAACTACTAAATACATTATTTTAAATTCTACCCCCAAGGCAGATAATACCACTATAATACCATGGTGATAATACCACTAAAACTGGTTACTGGCAGTGAAAGAGAATAAGACTTTAGTGAGGAGAAAGGGAAATAAAAAAACAGGAGGTGATTAACATTGCATTTAACTTTTGAAGAACATAGATAGCAGGGAAGCCAGAAACTGCAATGGAAACATTTATGTTATGAATTAACAGAGTTCACACTGTATTGAAATCTATCTTTCAAAGTTGATTTAAAGAATTAAAAACTAGTACAAAGTAAAACTATCAGATCATCCTGTAAGTTCTGTCCGAATTTTGAATAAAGAAAACAAGTGACCAAATTAATTACAGATTCAATCAACAATGTATTTTCCCTGATTATCTATGACTTCCTTCCATCTATTAACAAGCTTACTAATTCCATTACTGTAAAATTCTTTTGGCCTTGATTCAAAGAACTCACAAATGTTAGTTTTAACCTCTTCCTGCGTTACAAAAGCTGTTTCTTCCAAATGATTCTGTAAGCTACAAAACAAATGGTAGTCTGAAGGAGCAAGATCAGGTGAATAAGGTGGATAAGGAATTTTCTCCCAACCAAGTTCTTCGATCTTTTGTGACGTGATTCTTGCTGTGTGGGGTCACGCATTGTCCTGATGAAACTTCACCTCTTTTCGATTCACTAGAGCAGGTCTTTTTTTCCTCAAAGCTGGGTTCAAACACTAATTGCTGACAGTATATTTGAGCATTAATTGTTGCATTAGGTGGTAAGAATTCAAAGTGGATTATTCCTTGGCAATCCCATCAGATTGAAAGAAGAACCTTTTACCCATGAAGTTCCCTTCTCGGCTGTGGCTGGGGTCCTTCCCCTTTACCAAGCCACTGTCTATGACACTTAACATTTCGATAAAAGATCCATTTTTCGTCGCCAGTCACAAGTCTATCCAAAAAAGGTGAAAAAAGCTGGCGAGAATGGAGAGAAGAGCAGATGTCAACTCGGGATTTGAGGTTGTTTTTAGACAGTTCATGAGGCACCCATTTTCCAAGTTTAGGAATTTTCCAAGTTGTTGAAGATGACGATGAACAATTGTATGGTTTAAACCGAGAACCACTGCCAATTCCTCAACTGATAAAGCAGGATTTTCTTCATGGGCACATTCCTCTCCATAAACTGAGTGAATGTTTCTAGCCGCTTTGGCTGCTGAGTTTCTTTTCTTGAACTCATAAAGCATTATGTGCCTCAAATGATTCTTGGATACTTCCAGGTTAGAGCTTTAATCAAACAAAATTTAATTTTATTGTTCTCTGAAATAAAATTTGATCAGTTTAAATGCATCTAAACATAAAAAATAATGTTCAGCTCCATTAGACATTATAAAATACTCTTTAAATTTCATTCATTTTAACAAAAAATTTAAATTTGGACAGAACTTATGGGATGACCTGATAGTACAAACTAAAACTAGTACAAACTAAAACTAGTACAAACTAAAACTAGTACAAACTAAAACTAGTACAAACTAAAACTAGTACAAACTAAAACTAGTACAAACTAAAACTAGTACAAACTAAAACTAGTACAAACTAAAACTAGTACAAACTAAAACTAGTACAAACTAAAACTAGTACAAACTAAAACTAGTACAAACTAAAACTAGTACAAAGTTAAACTAGTACAAAGTTAAACTAGTACAAAGTTAAACTAGTACAAAGTAAAACTAGTACACATTTTTTTTTTTTTGATAAAAATATTTATTAAAAAGAACTTTAAATCAGTAAAAGACATTTGAAATATTAAGACTTGTAAGCAGTTTGTACATCTTGTAAAGGGCAATAAATCAGCTTCATTTCCCCCACCCCTGAGTGTTTTCAAGCAAAATAGTCATGGTTAGATGGTAACATTTCCATTGGAACTCCTTACTTTTTGTTCAAAATGTCAATTTCGGCATTGCTATGAAAGTTGTGTTCTTTTAGAAATGCATATGCACACTCTTCAATAGAGATGACAGCTTGGCAAAATTCTTCGGCAAGCATTTTTTTTTCTTTCCTCTACAATCCAATTTGAATGCTTCACTCATGACTCAAATACTTAAGTAGACCACATACAACAATAGCAGCATATAAACTTATTTGAATTTGGTGTTATTATATACTTATTTGACTTTATGAATTTAAGTGCAGTACTAGATTGGCTTGTAGGTCTCATCATTTTACAGTTGAAATAGCTAGATGTAACTAAGTTCTATGCTAATAGTTTCTTCTATCACACTTCTCACTAGTGGAACTCTTCTGGCTTTTTGTATCCCAGTCAACTTTGATCTTCAAAAATTTAAATGCAATGTCAATCATTATTTGGTCTTCTTAATTTTTTTGTTCTATTATTATCCTCTCTCTTGAACAGCATATTTTTTTCATATACTCTAACACTCAGTAATCCCCTTATGTCTTAGTGGCTTTATTGCCTTGTTTCAAGTGAAAGGATTAAAATAAGTTGTATAGCTGTTAAATAAGTTTGTTATTCATTCTTTCTTTAAAAGACATTGTCTAAGTATGTCATAAATT